TAAATCACAAATTAAAAATTTTATTTTTAAATAAAATAGTTTTTGTAAGCAATGGTATATCCAAGCCGCGCAACCTCGAAAATGAAGTTTTTCTTGACCTAAGTGTAACTAAGAAAAACTATTGTGATATGAACATTTGACATCCAGAAATACCGCTAATTCAAGGATGTGCTGGGACACTATTGTTCTATAAAATATTAAATTTTTACCTCATTTTGGAATTTCTATGAAATTTTATCGTAAATTTTACATGCAGTATCCACACAAATGTTGCCTTGAAAATGACGTCAAAAGGGGGAAGGGGTTTCCTTTTCCAATATTCTTTAAAGTTTTGCCCCTGGTAAAAATGGCATAACCTGGGAAATGTTTAAACTGGCTAATGAGAAATAATATGCATCCAGATTACTTGTTTTTTAATGCCAAAATAGATTCAGAGAGAAAAGGAATGCAGTCTATTTCGATTTGTAGTCAAGGTGTGAAAAATCAATCACGTCAAAAAAATTCTCAAGAGGGACATTAATTAACACACAAATAATCAAACCTGATACTGCAATGGCTGAATCATTCGTTGTTATAACAAGCACGAAAACCACAGCACATCTTTATTATATCTTTTGTACGTCAATTTCTTATCAAACAATGTATGCTTGCAAAAGTATCGGCCAAACCGAAAAATCCAAATTCTAAAACTAAGTACGACATAACACATTAAGGTATTTCTTTATCTTTAAAACTGTCTACTCAGACAGAACCTTATGTTATTCTTATCTCCTATTATTGAACTTCATTTGAAAATATTATTTAAAAAGTTATGACCAAGAAGTTAAACATCGCTCTCATTCACAATAAAGAGGTCATTCAAATGAAATGCTTTCAACATTGGGTATGGAAAAACAGTACATGTTTCATAACAATCAACATTTTTCAGGTAATTTTCTTATTTTACATGTTCTGGATTGCAATCTGATTAGCAAATTGCATAATGTGTTGTCTAGAGACATTTATAACAAAACACATAATACATGTAAACTGTAAAATCACATATTTTCGAGGGGTCAAATTGTCGTGGGTTGACGATAATAAATTGGTGCATGGGGATTTAATTTCAAGTTTAAAGAATTGCTCAATGATAATGCATGTGAAAAATTACATTTTGTGGAAAACATGAATTGTTGGCCCCATCATATATTGAAAACCACGAAAATTAACCCCCTCCAAATACACGATTTCACAGCAATCATCATTTTGCATCCCTTCCCCTACGACGTTGACAAAATTTCTTATTTATTTTTTTTACACAAGTTTTTGACAAGAGCAACTATATCCGGTAAAATTAAAATTACTATCGTAAAACTTATCAGAAAGACCCCAACACTTCCTATCTGTACGGCACTGGGACGAGATTCGTAAACACTGATCAAACTTCTGTTATAGGCACTGGTGTTTAATTTATGAACGGATAGATTCTTCTTCATCTGTTGAATCCATTCTGCAAGCGTCTCATTGGTGATATAGCTTCTGAGTCCCTTTGTTGTATCTGAAAAACAAAAACCAAACTTTATTAAAGTGGCTTTTTAAAAAAGGTTTTAAATCAAATGATTAGAGAATTCAAAGGAATTATATGTTTATTACATTTTAAAAGTTTTTGAAAAACAAACAATTATCTATATGAGATCGATTCTATCATTGTAAACAAAATTCTGTCGGTTTGGAAATGAAAATTTCATCAACCTGTGCATTAACAGTAATTATTAACATAGGTGAGAAACTTTATGAAGAAAGATGACACGAATATAAAATTTACTAACATTCGTCTCCAAGAAAGATTGAGGATTTCTTCAGTGTTCAATGTTACTCTTTAGTACGTACGCTTATATGTAACTATTTTGCTGACAAAACGAGAGAAAAAAAAACAAAGAAATATAATCCCAGGGAAATATATATTTTTTTTACATGTATGTGATAATAGCACCTTGGCACTGCAAACTGGTATGGGTCCACTTTCCAGACATACGTGTTATTTTATTGTCTGCATTTGTTGGTCTGTATCCATAGCGACATGCATACATGGCTACGTCATTATCAAGTAGAAAATCAGCGTTTGTTATATTAGGAACTGGACCACAAGATGACGCTGAAATTATACAATCGGGTAGAGAAAAAATAATACCATTCGTTATCAAGAGTTATTAAAAGTAAATTTGCAATACAGTTTGTGAGTTGATTAAATTGCAGTGCTATCATCAATTCGTTGGTTTTGAAGAAAAAATATATATCGAATACTAAATAATAAAAATATATATATATATATATATATATATATATATATATATATATATATATATATATATATATATATATATATATATATATATATATATATATATATATATATAGATTTAAATTTCCCTCAAATTCAATTTTATAGAAACTTTGATATTTTGTTCTAGGATACACATCTCTCTTTATATGTAATATGAAAGAAAATCTACTGCACATTTTTGTCCACATACAGTTAATTCTCGAATTATCGCCATTCGATTCATCGGCATTTTTGCAATACCGCCATGATTTCCTAAGAACTTTTTTCCTGCTACATGTACATAAAATTCTCTTTATAACGCCAAATTCGCATACCTCCATCCGCCACCCTGTTTTCACAACAAACGTCCATTTTTAAGTGTCAGTCATCTATATCTCGATATACCGCGACAGGTGCATGTGTTCAGTGACGCGCGGCTAATTGGTTGACGCTATCCCTGTTGTCAAGCATGCAAAGCCAGAAAAGGTACATGCAATTTTATAATTAAATAATAACTAAATAAACAATAATTTTAACACGTACTGTTATAATAATTTTGTTTTCCATTTAATAAAAATCATTTAGTAGAGGCATCGCCACGAAAGCGGTCGTTGTTAAAGTACGCCGATAACAATATTATTGCTTTAAACAATGCAAAGTTTGCTGAAAAAATAATTATACGGTAGAAATTGTGAACGTATTCAATGATGCCATAAACAATGAATTTATTCAAGAATTCATTTTAAGCACTATAGGCAATACATTACGACGATCGACCCAGCATTTTATTTTCAATACCAGATATCAGAGATACACATGTACTTGTCTCTATTTCAGAACTGCATATTAAGTTGTAGATAAATTGTACATTAAAAAAATTACTAAAAGCATTTATAAATGAAGTGATCTGTTTTTATATACATGTTCATATAATAATAAGAATAGAAACACTAAATGGTATTTCTAAGAACAACAACTCTACTTCTTGTTTCCTAAAAGATGGAAAATTGAATCCATCACCAAATTCGTTATTCCGCCATGATTTCTAAGTTACAAAAGGTGGCGGTTTATCGAGAATTAACTGTAGATTGATATATTAATATGGCCTATTAGTTTAAAATATATTTTATTCATAGAAATGGATTGAAAAGCAGGCATAAATGCCTATGATTGTTCTCTCCATAGGTCACGGTACAATTACAAGTACATGTAAACATTGAAAAAAATGTATGAGAGTAGATTATCAATTGGTACAGGCTTTAGAATTAATTCAAAGAGAGAGAGAGAGAGAGAGAGAGAGAGAGAGAGAGAGAGTAAAACAAATGAATAGACAGAAATAAATGAATAGGAAAAATAATTATATAATAAAATATAAACAACAAAGAAAAAAAGAAGGAAAAAAAAGAAATAAAATATAATAATTAAAAAAAACATATGTTTGAGCAATTGTTGTTGACCCAGAGTAGGAAGAATTCCCCAACAAAGCAGTTTACCTAAAATAATATATTTCCCAAAGAATATCTTAATAAACTAAAATTTCAATGAAAACTTTTGAGTTAGTTATAAAGGTATGTACATGACCAAAAAATGAAAAAAAATTATCCAGACTTAGTGAGTCTACACCATATAATGTGTTTTCTATATTAATTGGTATGTTATTGTCGTTGTAACAATACAAGAAAAAATGCATTGACTTTCTATGTAGACCCCCGTTAAGAGATTGAGAAATCAGACATGGGAATTGGCCTTATTTAAATTATCAATGGACGTATTGCAAGTTAGTGTGATACTGTTTTATATATAAAGTCAGTAAGGTATACTTTTACCAGTAAATTTTTAAAAAGTGTAAAAATAGAACATACATAGCATTGGAATTGAAAGTTACTTTATTTTATACAATGGGAAATATCTTTTTTATTGTGATTTTATTTCAATTCTAAATATCAACAATTATTGTAACCACTATTATAATAGTGACGTCACCATTGCCGAAATAATTATATCAACAGTGGTATACTCGGCACTTACAGCAACAGTATTAACAAACATGCCACACCTGCTATTGAAATATGACCACTATTGAAATATTTTTTTCGCCTTTTACGACTGAAATCTACTCTACTGTCACTGACACTTATCAAAATAAGTATCTCAATAGCAGTCGTATTTCAGTAGTGGTTACAACCAATGTTAGTTAAAAACATAACACTAACCTCTTGTGAAATAATTATTTCAATAGTTTAAAAAACATAAAGAAAAGTATTCAATTTCACAAAAAATAAAAATAGTGAAATCATCCTACCGTAGCAAGTGAAGTTTGTCTTCTGCCACTCATATAGTAAGCAGTTTGTTGTGTTGTTTCCAGATTTTGGAAGAAATCCCTCGCGGCAGGAGTATAGAGCAACATTCTTAGAGACCATAACGTCAGCGTTAGCAATGTTAGGTGGATCAGGACAATATTCTGTAAAGATATAAATACATGAAGTTACATAACTATAGTTATTTCATATATGTGAAATTAATACAATATATCAATTTATAAACATATAAATTTACATTTTTGTATACCTTTCTGACGTACAATACTTTAAGAATATGATTTGGTGCATACCTTGAATGCAACCTTTTGTAAAAGATATATTTATGATTTTTTAAAGACTAAACATATGAGAACATAAAATATTAATAGTCATGAAATAAAAATTAAGAAATTTGCAACTTGAAGAACATGTATAAAGATCTTAATCCTTACTTATACATTTAAAGTCAGTGGACGGCCAGATACTGTTTCTGCATTCAATGACGTCAACTGTATTTTTCAATGTGAAATATCCCGTTAAACAGAAATATTTTGCTCTATTGTCCTGCACAAAAACTGCTGCATTTTCAACAGTGGGAGGTGATGGACAAACAACTTCAAATTAAAAAAACACAAAGGTATCAGAATAACTTTTTTTATCCTGAAATATATTGTTTATCAATGTCTTTGAATCACTACATTTTTGGATATCAAATCAAATATATACCTTTACAGAACATTGCCGAATTAGACCATGTGCCCTCTATACACTTAATCATGACGTCATCAGAACTTTCAGTGAACCCAGTCTTACAAGCGTACAGAGCTTTGCTACCATTAGTTACTCCATCATATAGCTTATATGCATTGAAAATGTCAGGAGGGATTGGACAATCTAAAGTGAAGCTTTAATTACCATTTAATAATATTTACATTAAATCCCTGTCAAAATCAAGTCACAGTATATTAGAGAAAACGAAATCTGAAAAAAAATGAATAAGGTTGAAAGTTGTCTATATGATATGTTCCTATATTGTAATGGTCAACTGCCAGGGTTGATTGTGAAATAAAAGAATTGAATAAAATATCTTTCTTGTCAAGCATTGCAAAAGATTGGCAATTATGTTTACAATATTGTGGAGAAGAATTATACCTGTAGATACGCATCTTGTCTGTGGCCAATCAGGAGAACATAATTCCGTACTTTTGCAAAGCGTGCCTTAATAGAATGAGTTTACATAATTTGACAACTAGAGGCAATTCTTCTTTTTTACATTTCTATGTTGACTCAATATTCCTTAACATGCAGTTTACACTTCATTGACAGGAAAATAAATTTAATGTTTATTGCATTACGATTATCTGCAGGATGCAGGGAGCTAAAATCTTCACATGAAAAAAGAGTCAGGATTTGTTTATTTTTTGAATAATCAAATACTTAATACCTGTAATGTCAATAACTTTAACGATGACTTCAACAAAGTCACTTTCTTGATTACTTTGCCCGTCTCCCCACTCTCCACCCACGTAAACCAAATGTCCATTTGTATTTGTCTGGGATGGTCTCCAGAGCAGAACTTCTGTCTCATTGTATCCGTATATTATAGCTCCATATGTGTCATTAGATGTATCAATCATGGCACTACCGCCAGCGTGAAAAATGAAACCGTCGTTGTTTGGAGATGATACTTTCATCTGAAGGCATTAAGCAGGAATAGAAAACATGGATTAAGGTATATGAGGTGTAATTCTGATTACTTTATATATAAATTACCTACACTGACCATTTCAACTCATGAAGTTTATCTAGATAAGACACATTCCCAGTTGCGATTTTAGAATCAACATTATTTGATCATTTGCTTGACAATAAACAAAATAACTAGTATTCCTTTATAAACTGCAAATTTCTTTTATTTTAATGAAAACATACAAAACATATATTTTTTAAATTATGCATAGACAAATCTCAACAAATCGAGGAAAGAGGTTTGCAAGGCCACTCAAGACCAAAGTTACTGTAAAATGTTAAAACTAGTGTAAACTATTAATATGGCCTGTTCACTGATTGATTATTTTTACATGCCATAAACTTTAGACTTACCAGAACAGAAACAAATGCTGAATCTAAACTATACACCGAATCCAGACTCACTCGCTCGACAGTGTTTGTGTCGCTCTTATCAAGTGTGAATTGTGTCGAGAAATGCTTATTACAGGAGTCGAGTATCCAGGCCTGGATATACAGACTAGCAGTGTCGCCACTAAAGCTCTCTGCTCCCCATCCATCGTCTGCACAAGCCACATAATCTGGAAAATGTAAAATCTAAACATCTCTAGAATTATTCCATATAAGTTTCAACTTTTCAAGGCCAGTGGTTCTTGAGGATATGTTTTTTTTTTTCTATATGTTTAAATGTTAACTTGGATTCTCTTTTGTGACTCTTTGCTATCCCGAGGGTCATTCTTTGAACTATTGTAGAATCTACACTACCCTAGAGACATAAGTTTCAGCATTTCTAGTCAAGTAGCTCTTTCAAAGATTTTTCCTGTACATTTCAATGCTAAAGTTGGATTTCTTATTGATTCCCCGCCCTATATATACCCCAGGGTTATGATTTGAACAACTGAAGAATCTACAGTACCTTCCAGACCAAACCTGACACCCAAACAGTCCCAGAAAGCAGTCGGGGCGCTCTTGTACTTATATGGGACTGCTCTAGAAAGCAATCTTTCAATAAGAAGATATTATTATAGTTAATTAATATTTTCAGAGACTCTCTATTTACACAAATGTAGTTTAATTTATTTATTATTTTAAATAAAATCGTTAAATAAGGAATTCGGGATTGCATTGGCACTACTGTAAATTGGAAAAATTTTACTGTAGATAAAATTTTAGCAAATTTGCGCGTGCATCGCATTCGCAAAAAATATAATTTTTATATATAAACAAGTTTTGCTTTCCAAAAAGCCTTAAATGTCATCTCCTTGGCTTCATTAATGTCACAGAATAAACAGTGGAATGTAACTTTTTTTTCTCAGTTATTACAGATTTTTCTATTCTTCTAGGGAATGGGAGTGACAGCTTAACTGAACAATTTAAGATTAGGAAAAAGGGCAGTAATCAAACTCCAAAATCCTATGTTGTGTATGAGAAGGAAGGTTTTTTTTTATTATTATTTCGAAAATCAAATTTATTTTGTTAGTACTTGGCTATTCTCCAACAAAAAGTGTGGATAAGGGATGCTTGAAGGATAAGGAAATTGAACAATTACAACAGTACAAGGTTAAAAGGGCTGTTACACAGATTTGTTGATCTGATTTTCTAGAATTGTCTAAATAATATCATGATTCATATTTTGCTAAAGCATTTCATACTGCGTGAAATATACTTAATTAATGTTTAAAAGTCTCTTTTATTTGGAAATTATCAAAACTACAAAGTTTGGGACATGTTTCATTGACATATATTGTAGAACTTGCACATAGTAGACTTAATTTACAATAGAGATAACTCTTAATGGCAAAAGTGTTCATTTTCCCTATATAAATTTGTCAACTTGAAGAGTTTTCTCCAATTTTTCCCCATAAGCCATGCTATAATTCTTTAAATTTTACTTCCCATTTCCATTTCCCTTAAATACCGGGTAATCACAAGAGTAATATTTTTTTATTTTTTAAAAAATTAATGTCCCACTGAGCAGCATTTGTAAAATTTAAAAAAAAAAAAAAAAAAAAAAAAAAAAAACCTACAAGGATCAATTGGGTAAAATCTTAGCTTTACTTTTGACCTTACGTATATGTATTTCACAGCTTCTTACTCCGACAACAGACAAAAGCGCTAACTTAAATAATTCCAACCCTTTCCAAAGATATCCCTTTAACTTCCCATTCCTTCAAGTGATATGGGCATTGAACCCCTTGGGTTATATAGGGGGGAATGACCTAAACTTACTTCAAAAGGTTTAGTATTCAAAATCAACTTTTAACAGCACTTGCGGATTTAGAAGGTGCCCAGGCTCACTTTTTTTTGTTCAAAATATACATACAATTTAACAATTGAATCATTTTTTTGCGTGGCTGTTGGCCCCTACCCAACGCCCACATGCTTTTAATATAGGTCTTTGGCCTGCTGTTCAATCCATATTCTTATTGTACACTTTGTATATTATTAATAAAATACTTCTTAAACTAAACATGCTTTTAAGCATAAGTAATAACATAAGCATAAGTTTAAATGCTATCTGCTAACATCAAGCATTTAAACATTATCTGAAAAAAGTCTTAATTTGCCAACCCCGAACCTACGACTGTTTTAGGAATATACAGGTATACTGTCATTTGTGACCGTACAATTCTACGTGCAGTGCGTATATTTTTTGTTTTTTAGTAAACTTTACCTGCATGCTAAACATATTTTAAAACAATTATATTTTCTAATTTTAGCTTCATTTCAATAATAAAGGAGTAGTGAATTGATGACTTTTTTGCCATCAATGCAAATAAACTGTATACAGAAAATGAATGCAAGTTCTTTAATTATGAGCTTGATAGATTCTTAAAAAGAATAGATTAGACATGCTAGAAAATACTTAAAATGTTTCTTTGTGATCTTTTTTCCAATGTCTGTAGTTTATTTGATACATTAAGGGGGATGTCCGGCCACCTTTAGTGTAGTAAGAACAAAATGTCAAATGGCTAAAATACATTATAGTTTGATCAAATTCTAAGTCCTTATGATAAAGATACAATAAATATGCATAACTAAATGCATGTTGTGCATATATATTCTATACTTTTGCAGAAAATTGCTTTTGATATGCTCCTTAGAACTTCGCAGCTAGAGAATTCAGCAGAGCCTTAGAAAAACTATTTAAAAAAATATGCAAATTGTGCATTGATGTTCTGTGTACAACCATTTGTTGAGAAAATGACTAAATTTTGCACTTTTAAATGGTAATTTCAAGTTCAAAACAAGGTACCGTTGTCTTCAAAATGAGTGTAAAAAACCATGAAAGTAGTTCATGGATAGCTATAGTATGGATTAAAGTAATTAGTACTATTATCGAACAGTTTTTAAATAGTTTACATATTGATATAAAAAAAAATCTTAAACTCTTTGATTCCAGGTAAGGAAAAATGAGCACCATCAAAGTTAAAAATTAAGAGTTTGTAAGCCTGTCACAGAAAACATTTTATCTATCAAAATCCTAATTATCATTAATGAAACACAACGAAAATTAGACACATAAAATCAATATGAATGACTTTTTTTTAGTACCTACTAGTATACTGTGTCAAATAAACATTTATAATTTTCATCACATCGGAGCACCATTTGAAAAGGAATGTAATCATTGAGAGTGGGTTAGGAGATTTACTAAATAAAAAACTTTTTTTCTATTTGCCCATATTGTCAAAATTCCAATTATACAGAGTAAGGAAAAGTCAACGTAATTGAATATTTTAGACCATCTTTAAAATGACGTTTGGTGGTCCTCCCAACTCAGGGGGAAATTATTAAATAAATCATTATTTATAGGTGAAAGAAAAAATTCTAAAAATTTAAACATATTTGTTGACGGAAGAAAAAGAAAAAAATATCGTTAAATGGGATGTTAAAAAAAATTGAGTCGGGTCATTTCTAGGCAGTATGACGGTAGAAAGGGCAACAAAATATATTTATAAAAAGTGGTCTTAACAATATAAGGCTAGTACACGTTCCATCACATACTTCGTAATGCAAAATTTCTGAAGCTTTGGCACTATTTTGGAAAACAAACATAGGATTTTTAGGGGGAGGGTGTAACCTCTAACTCTTTTTTTTTCGAAGATAGATATAGCATATGCGATGGACTTTTCTTTGTAAACATTGTGCTCACTTCTAAATTTCAAAGAAACAACTCAATATTATACATGTACCAAACTTCGTACGTTAGTGAGAGCTTACAACTTTGTCAACATAATGAGAAACCATGTGTTTTTATGTCCTAACATTACTCCATACAATGTGTGGGTCATCGTAAACAATCTAGCTATTTATATGTGAGGTGCCTGAAGGAAATCCTATAACTGACTATTTTTTCAATCTACCTGCTAAACAAAATAGACATATGTACCAACATTTGAAATGTAATACATGTAATTACAATTTGTTTTTCATGCACCGCATATTGTTTAACATTTTCAAATTAAAAGCTAAGCGTCCTCCTTGCAGCGCCCCATTTGAAAATAACTTCTATCGCCACAGAAAAGAGACCCGCCATAAACACATATATTTAGGACATGTTTTATCTTTTTTGAGTTTTAAAAAAAAATAACAAATTATCAAGACTTGTTCCATGAAAAAATTAATATAATCATGGTAATAAACGCATCTATCCACAGCAGATATATGCACATGCCAAACACGTGCTCATTGGAATGATATGATCGAGGAAATTCGAGCGATTAGCTGGATTTGGGCTAAAATTGCGTTGTTTCATTAATCGGACTATGCAATGCAACAATTAAAATAAGTAAGTTATATAACCTAAGGATTATTACTTAGTAATTTCTTGTCTTGATGTTGTTATGGTCGCATTTATTCTACAAGAGGCCCAGGGGCCACAGCGCTCACCTGAGCAATTTGCTAGGAAAAAGCCCATATCAGATCAGAACTGAAAGTTTACTGGGGGGGGGGGGGGGGGGGGGCTTGAATTTTAAGCCCCTAGGGGGTCATGATTTGAACAAACTTGAATCTACAATACCTGAGGATGATTACACATGAGTTTCAACTTTTCTGGCCCAGTGGTTCTTGAGAAGAAGATTTTAAAGATTTTTCCTATATATTCCTATGTAAAACTTCGATCGGCCATTTTGGCCCCACCCTACCCCCGTGGGTCATGATTTGAACAAACTTGGATCTACACTACTTGTGGATGATTCCACATGAGTTTCATCATTCCTGACCCTGTGGTTCTTGAGAGAAGATTTTTCCTATATATTCCTATGTAAAACTTTGATCGGCCATTTTGGCCCCACCCTACCCCCGGGGGTCATGATTTGAACAAACTTGAATCTACACTACCTGAGGATGATTCCACATAAGTTTCATCTTTCCTGGCCCAGTGGTTCTTGAGAAGATTTTTTAAAAACGCCATTATTTTTTCTCTTATTCATGATTATCTCCCCTTTGGAAAAAGGCGTGGCCCTTCATTTGAACAAACTTGAATCCCTTTCACCTAAGGATACTTTGTGGCAAGTTTGGTTGAAATTGGCCCAGTGGTTCTTGAGAAGAAGATGAAAATGTGAAAAGTTTACGACAA